AGAGAGAGAGGGAGAGGAGAGGACAAAGGGGACAGGAGAGAGAGAGAGAAGAAAGAGGGAGCCTAGCTATTCTCATGGCCAGACTTCAGGGGATCCTGTTTGATTTCTGAGTGTAAACATGTTGTCAGTGAAGCACGGTGAATGACAAGAGTGAGTATGAATAGGCAAAACTCCAAATGTATGGTTCTTGAGATTTGATTTATGTCCACAGCCAAATTAGATAACACACATCCCATAAACCCTATCAACAAACTGTATAATTGTGGAGGCAGTGACTCAGGGTGTGCCCTGCATCGCGTTACAACCAGTGACACTTTGATAGATGCCAGGATCTCAGGTCCTACCTAGAACACTGCTTGATGGCCTTTGGGTGCACAGCAGTTGTGCTATCTTTCCTGGGTGAGGCGGCTGAGATTTATAGCTGTTAAATGCATTAGACCCAAGGTATTTTGTTGATGTTAACATTTGCTGCCAGCGTCTAATGCCACATCTTGTTTACAGCTCATAAATTTATGACATAAGGAGACCACTCAGAATTTTGATGTATTATGAAAAAAAACCACTCAGCAATGCCAAATGCACGAATGGTTTTACATTTCAGACAGATCCTTTTACACACTGTTGATTGCGTTTTAATATAACAGGGGCTTCATTTTGTTCTGCTGATGGATTCTGATCATCTCTTGGCACTTAGGAACAGGGACATGAATGCAGCACATCTGGGAAAATAAAAGTTTTATTAAAGAACACATGAGACAAACAGGTATTTCATCGCTGTTTTCTCTGTCACCCTAAGTGAAGACAGAAATAGAAGAGCTGATTCTTTGCTCTCTTTCCTAAGCGGACACCCCCCAGTGTGACAAATACTACATCAGCTCTTTTATCAATAAGTATCTCCTTTTGCTTATCCCCAGACCAACACATATTTCACCAACGAACAAACAAAATGCTGTAGAGAAACCCTTAGTTTTACAGTAGTCGGCTTGTGACTGCTGAGCCATTCCCAGGGATGCAAAGCCTCTTACCATTGGGGAGTTTGACAGAAAGTGAAAGATGCTTGTCCTCAGGGGTCAGACAGAGATGGGGTGGCTCACAAACACTTGCAAATAAATCTGGAATTTTCTGTCATCTTGGGGACCTTTCTTGGTGGGTGGAGGTGGGTAGTGGCTCTATCGCTTCCTTGAGTGAAAGTTACTTCTTCATAGTCATTTGCTTACTGATAAGCCATTGAAAAGCTGAAGCCTTATTATGGTCTCGTTGTCTCTCTGTGATTCTTGGCACGGCTAAGGCAGCGTGCCTCCTCCTGTTTGCTGCTTCTTGTGCTGACCCAGTCTGTGTGGTACCACCTGTCCTTCCCCTCCGATCACGGGACCTTGCAAAACATATTTGTCTCTCTTTATCTGATCACCTCTATGCAATACATGGCTTATAAGGCCCTTCCCAGGCTCAGCTGTTCTACCAGCTTCCCTTCTGCTATCTCCTACCTAATGGCATGACCCAGCCATGTTGGAAGGTTCGCTGTCAGGGAGCAAAGCCGGTTCTTGATAGTTTGCATGCCTGTATTCATGCAAGCCAGGCTGTGGGATGCAATCCTCCCAGCATCTGCCCGCTGCATTTTGGAAATACCTATCAGCTGCCTGGCCCATTATTCCCTCTAAATTCCAGGCAGAAAGAGAAACTCATTCCTGTGCATTCTGTATCCTTCCCACACAGTGGCTGCATCGCCACACTGTAGTGTGGTTGGTTATATTTGACATCACCTTTGGATGGGGAATCCCTCAAGTCATAGTCATCTTCTGTATTTGACGTGCATCTATTGGGCTGTATTAGCAGAGGCCACCGGCTTTGAAATGAAAAAGATCTGGATTAGAATCAAAACTGCTACTTACTAGTTGTGTGACCCAGAGTGAGTGGGTCTGCTTTTTCTTTGTCTCTACAATTATACCTGTAAAATGGGGACCAGGGTAGCAATGAAAATGCCTAGTATCCTGCTTGGGAATTGTAAGTCACCATTGTGTCCTTGGATGAGTTGAATTTTCCCTCTGAAACTTTTCCCTTCACTCTTAGGGCTTCCTTCTGTAACTTCAGGTGCCTCCAGCTCTGAACTTTCCCAGGAAGCCACCCTCCCTGCAGCCTTCTGGGGTATCAGTTCACTGTCTGTGTGATAACAGAGATATGGAAAATTACTGGACTCGTTAATATTTGCATAATCCTGGTCTAAGCTTTTCACCTCAGTTGGAAGTGCCTCTGCAGTAGGGTCTGTGTACTTTTCACCCCGTGACAGCTCTTCTGTTCCCTCGAGGTGTTTTCTAAGATAGGCACTTGCTTGTTACCTCTACTAATTTGGTTTTTTCTTGCAGTAGGTTTGATCACTGCAGTTGAAGTGCTGGTGGCTTGGGGCCATTAGGGAGCTGGTGCATGTACCCCTTCCTCTCTGCAGCAGTCTTTGTGACTTCTCCCCCCCACCCCTCATTTAGCTGTAATAGAAGTGCTGCTGAATACCAGTGAGACCCTGCTACATACATATAGAAAAAGGATGGAAATCCCTCAAGGACAGAACTCATAGAATAAATGTGATCGCAGTAATGTGCGTTGCTTTTTCTTTACAGGCACATGTGAGTGTGTGCGTGTGTGTGTGTGGCTTATTTTGCTTATGAGAATGATCAAACTGGCCTAACTGCAACATCTGAGGAAAGTACACAAACACAAGCAGATGTCTGGTTCTGGCCTGGCTGTCCTGCTTTGTGCAGAGTGAAATTTGTCTGTATCTTCTACTTTGTCAGGCTGAGCTGCAGAAGCTGAGACAACAAGCTCTGGAGACCAAACATTTCATTGAAAAGCAGGAAGCTGAAGAGAGAAAACTGCTGCGAATCATTGCTGAGGCAGATGGGGAGAGGCTGAGACAGAAGAAGGAACTGGATCAGGTGGGGACATCTTGCCCCACCCGCAGACCTTGTCAGCAGACACCCTATTTGATTCAGCCTTCACTCTTCCCTGTGTGTCAGGGACTCCTTGAGTTATCAAGGTTACATTGACCCACAAGAAAATAAGGTCCCTGTCCTCAGGGAGCTGACATTGGTGTGCTTACATGGAAGTGAAATGAGCAACTACATCATTTGGGAGTTAGACACTCAAATCCTTAATTTGTGGGTTAGAAACTTAAGTGCATTCAGAGAACTAGCAGGTTACAAAAAAGAATTTGGCCAGTGAAGACACAAAGAGTGGCTGTTAGCACTTAGCAGTAGCTCTTAGTAAGAGCGATTCTACCATAAAGTCACTTGAATGTGAGCTTTTATAACATAATGGGCTGGAAAAAAAGCCAAGCAAAGAAATACACATGGGCCATGGTCGATGATGATGATGGTGGATTATTTGTTATCCTGTTCTCATTCCGATGAGACTGCAGGCTAATGGAAAGTGCCAGTGCTCACTGTCCAGCAGGCTCTTGGCAGTGCCCTGCGAGTGGAGCCTGGCATGTGTGGGCTTTCTGAAGTCACCCCCCAGGTGAGCCTTGCTGCCATGTTGAAGTGGGACCGTGCCCTCCCCCACTGTCCTAGGTCATCAGCGAGAGGGATATTCTCGGGTCTCAGCTCGTTCGGCGCAACGATGAGCTAGCGTTGCTCTACGAGAAGATCAAGATCCAGCAGTCCGTGCTGAATAAAGGCGAGAGCCAGTACAACCAGAGGGTGGAGGACATGAGAGTCCTCAAGCTGGAGATCAAGAAGCTTCGCCGAGAGAAGGGGATTCTTGCCAGGAGTGTGGCTAATGTTGATGAACTCAGGTAATAGGAAACCCCTCAGAGGCGCTGAAGTGAATTACGTTTCTCATGTTGGTCACTGAAGGTCTTTATCCAATTTTATAAAATTATTTTATCTACTGAAATGATCAGTAACATCAACTTTCCCCCCATAATTCAGGATCAACATCACATCCATTCTGTGTCGCCAAAAAATGAAATTTCCTCCCAGGGGCATTGAAGTGAGTGCAATGACATTTCAAAACAAAACAAAACAACAGCAGCACATCACTTTATTTGGGTTTTTAAAAGAGAAATTTCAAGTCAACTGACAAAGACTAGTTATGATTCAGAAAAAAAATCCCCCCAATGGGCTCTTTAGAATTTCTTTTTAATAAGGCAGTGTGTGAGAGATGGAGCATCGATGTTTAACTTTAATCCTGGTAACATGTGCACATCTTTTTCTTGGCGTTATATACAGAATGGAGAGAGGAGAAAACTTTCATTTTGTCACTATTTGAAATCTCTCTTTCCTTAGAAGGAGACCAAATTGTATATCTCACTCTCGATTGATCTTCCGCAGCTGTCACGTTAGCTCTGTGCACCGCCTTCTTTCTTTCAACCTGGCATCTACAGGAGCTACTTTACCTGTGGGGAAACATCACCGTGCTTTACACAGGCGATTGCAGGAAACCAAATAAGAAGCCTGCTGTTTTCTATCCTTGTTCTATCCTTGTTCCCCACAGACGCAAGATGAAGAGTGTTCTTGACTACCTTGTCCCAGGGACAAGGACAGTTTGGATCTGCTTCTCGCATTAATTAAATTAGAAGATAGTTTTGATATTTAGATAACAGTGAATTTATTCAGGAATAGCAAGGGAAGTTGACACTACCAAGGACAGATTGATACTTTTTTAAAGAGATGTGCATAGTTTGGATGATGAGAGTAACAGAAACTCATTGTAGAAAGGTGTGGGGAGTGTAGAAAAAAATATATAGCAGGGGTTAGAAAATCACCCCTAAGGTTACTACCCAGCGTGTATACCACCACTGGCATTTTGGAGATAAATGGACTCATTCTTAGTAGTTACTGAATGATCGCCAAGACTGTGGCTAAACTTGCCAGCCTTGACTTATTTTTATCTCATACACAAAGGACCAAATTACCCCCATTCCTAGTAATACTGCTGGTTTGTTGATAATATATTTTAATTTTTATTTTCAATGGGAAGAAAACGTAATAAAGGTATTGCGGGCACGCAGGCATAAATTCCAATCTCAACCTTGCCACCTACAAGCCCTGTGACCTTGAATAAAGCCCTTAACTTCTCTGAGCTCTAGACTTGTGGTTGAAAGGGAACACAGAAACCTCCATCCTGCGCTTAGCATAGCGTTGAGTACACAAGCCGTCATCAGTTAGACAGCTAATACTTCGCTCTCCTCTTCTGATGGCGCTCTAGAAAATCGAAGCGTTAAAAATATGCTTTTAATTCTAAGCAGCTCGTTCTCAGCTCCCTGTTGAGTGAACATCATGCAGTTAATTCTAATGGTTTGTCTTGCTAATGAGGGGAAGTTGTATTATTGGTTTAAATGAAGCAATTAAGTAAAAGAGATGGCTTAGTATTAGTAATCTGCACATCCACGGCAGACAAGGACAGATAATGGCACCCAGACTGCCTGTGTCTGGGCTCACCTCTCCCTGCTTCCCAAGAAGCTTCTTCACCTGGTGGTAGCCAGCATGCAGGTTTTTGTGGATGCCTGGCACATCGCCCTTCACTAGAGATTCCCAGGGACTGTGGAAGTATGTTTGCGCCAGAGCTAGTCCTTCAGGGCTCACTCGGCCACCTATGCAGTTATAGGAGGTGAGATAAAACATCCCTCCCGCCTTGGTGTTTCTCAGTCCCACTGCACGTTAGAATTGCCGGCAGAACTTTAAAACCTGCAAAACCCAAGCCACGTGATAGATCCTGAAAAGCAGAAATGCTCTGGGGATTGGGTCCTGATAAAGGTATATTTTCCAAGTGGGCCAGGTGAGGCCAATGTGCGGTGGGGGTGGGAGTGTGCAGAGCAGCGGCCTCCGGCAGGTGCCAGAGCTTATGATGTGGTGTTCGTGGTTCTCTCGCTACAAGGGGAGATATCTAGAAACATTAAAAAGTTTCTTGAAATTCTAGTTCACTAGGATGCTCTGTTCCTTCCACATACTTCTAAATTCCTTGCGGAACCAGAATCATGATTCTGAAACCAAGACACTTTTCTTTTAAAGCTGAAGCTGGAGTTTGGACTCTCTGTGTATTAACAGCACCAGGGTCTTGCCGCAATTAGGTGCCTAATGCAAGATGTGCTGTGAATATAACCTTTTAGAGACAGGATGTTCAGAAGGGCGGAGAATTTCTCTGCAAAGCCAAATCTGTCTTATTCAGGCAGGAGATCTTCCACATGCAGAGAGAATTCCTGAAGGAGAGGACCCGGTGCCGAGCACTGGAGGAGGAGCTGGAGAACCCCATGAACGTGCACAGATGGAGGAAGCTCGAGGTAACGTCTGGCAGAGCCTTCCTCCAGCCCCAATCTCTCCCCTCACCCCACATGGCTTCCTTACCTGAAGCACAAAAAGGAGCGACATTTTATTTAATGTTATGCAAATTGTCACCTAAAACATAAGGCGGGATCAAATGTAAATTGGATTGTTCCCACACCAGATGTTTTTTTGGGTTTTGTCTTAACAGTTTTAGAAAAAATGTTTTTTTTTTTTTTTGGTCTAAAGATCCGGTGAAAGCTGTGCCCTGACCTCACCAATGAGTATTTATTTTCTTGTTTGGGTAGTTTTGGGTCAGCCCATTGCCCCGAGGCTGCATGTTAGTCTTGGATAGTTCATTGCTTTTAGCAACTTTGGCTGCCAGCATCATCATCATCTTTTGATTGGTCTTTGCAACCTTTAATTTCTACAGGAAATGACCTTTGTGAACTAACCCTCTTTTTGAAGGACTAGCAAAGTCTTCTTTTAGAACCTAGTCAAATTCCCATTGGTAGGTGATGGGTGTAAATCTCATATATGGGATGACTTCCTGACAGGCATGGCTATCCGGTGTAGCCTTCAGGCCTGGTCTGCCTTTGTCAAGGAAAAGAGGGCCATCTCCTAGAGTTGTATCCAGTTCTATGGGGCCTAAAGGGGCTTTGCCTAAATGAACAACTAGGGTGTGGGGAGAATGTAAGCATGTGATAGCAGAAAGAGCAGGGCTTGTCCTGGAGAACACTAGCCAAGGAGGTTTTTGTTTTTCAACTTTATTTTTTTCTTTAATGAAGAATGCATTAAGGATAATGCATTATAAATTGTTATGTAAACATGAGGCTTGAATCTTCACAACAGCTAGTTTTGCCAAATGAATATGAGCCAAACCTAATCCCAATATATGGATATTGGTTGGCACTGTTCAGTATTTCATAAGCAAAGTCATATTCAATATAGTCTTCTCCCACCCTCGATGGCTCCCCCATTTATTTTCCCTCAAAGCCAGGAGTTGTACAGATTGCTAAACTAGCAATAATATGGATGTGTCTGAGGAAGTGGAACTGAAGATTTTAAATCCATAGACTGTCACATTAATTTATTCCATGTGTGTTCAAGCAGATCTTTAAAGTTTCCTATTCTATGTCAATTTTTATTAAAAAATTAGAAAATAGAGACTCTGGGAAGTAGTTGAAAATATTTAGCTGCTAGATTCATTCAAAATGTCAGTATGGTTGAAAGTGAAGCTTTGGCTCAGTCTCGAGGACAAATTATCAATTTATAACTGTAGATTTTGTTTGAGTTGTACACAGATAGCTATTGAAGGCACATCAAAGCTTTATGGATTGATAACTCCATTTGAAAGCTAAATGCCACAGACATGTTCGGCTGTCAATTATCAGCAGGAGTCCACATCCTAGTAACCTTCCCCATCGTGGGCTATAATGAATCTTTTTTTGACAGTTACCAAAGGAGAGTCCTGAGACTGTATTAGGGAACCCTGTCTGGTTCCTGTAGATCCAGAGATGATAGGGCACAGTGATTAAGAACCACCGACTCGGGCCCTCCCTGGTGGCGCAGCGGGTTAAAGCACAGCACTGAGAATCTAAAGCCGCTTCCGCACGAGTTGGATTCCCGCCTGCCCCGGAGGTGACCACATGGCGTGGCAGACCTCTCCTGACCCGCCCACTGCTCCCCTCAGCAGTGTACTTCGTCAATCTGCCTGTTCTGTTCCCCACTCTGTCTCTGGTGAAGCCTCTCACCACCCCTGAGCCTCTGGCCTGTACCCCAGTTCTGTATGCACAAATAAATAAATCTTTTAAAAAAAAGAACCACCGACTCTAGCGTCAGCTGCATCTGACCTTGAACACAGCTCTGACCCTTACCAATGTGGATAAACAATCCTCTGAGCCTCAGTTTCCTTGACTGTAAAGGCCATATATTATGCATGGCTGTGATGTGGCTAAAATTTGGTGTATGAAAAGCACCGATCATGGTACCTGGATAGTGGCAAAGAGGTTAAGTATCATGCAGAGTAGCTATCATTAGTTCCCACCAGTGAATAAACAGTCACTTTCCATTTATTCACTGACTGGAATCAATAGGTGAGACATTAGCCAAGCTTCAGTCTATTTTGGTAATCAGCCCCTCTATTATAGTATTTTGGGTTCTTAGTCATTTTGTTTTGGTTTTGCAAAAGATTTTGATAAAGCAGTGGTTATTTACAGTGTTCTCAATGCTTTGAAATGGATCCTATTTTAGCTGCTTTATTTTGTTCTCCGTGGACAGGCCAGTGACCCCAGTACCTTTGAGCTGATACAGAAAATTCACACCCTGCAGAAACGACTCATCAGCAAGACAGAAGAGGTGGTTGAGAAAGAGCTGCTTCTTCAGGTAGCGTTTTCATTTCTATTCATGCTGAGCAAGTATTCAGCACCACCATATCCAGGACTGTTTTTTTAGAATTATTTAGCAGGATTGCATGTCCCATTCTTAACTGTAGATGGCAACAGTGACTCACATACGGAGAACAAACACCTTGATTAATTGGCCTTTTATGCTGCCATCACTGGTACTTCAAGAATTCTGGAAAATTAAGTTCAAGGCTAGACTTGACTGCAAAGGGTAATGTGAGCTCCCTCCCCTCCCCCCAACCCCTAGTTTTATTTGTCAGATTCTTTTAAATTCTTCCCTTCCTATCTTCTTATATTGTGAAATGCTATGATTTTGGAAATAAGCTTTCCCACAAGATCACAAATGATCCATCCTCTCGAAGACTTGGTGAACACTGAATGGAATGAAAGACTTCTTTTCGAGAATTTTATGTAGTGAGTTCTTCTAGAACAATTAGGAATGGTAACATACTTTTAGACCTTTGTCTTTGCAAGTTCCAGTTGCCTTCATCATGGTCAGCATCATGCTAGATGTTGTTCTGGAGGCTTAACTACCTTGCTCCATTTCCTTTTTACAGTTCAGAGGGTGGGGATTGTCATCCTTAAGCAATGGGTGAAAAAGCCGGAGGTTAGTGTAGATAAGGTGTTAGGTGACCTGGCCGGGGTTGGAATCTTGTGCCTGCCAGTTTGTGACTTTACAAACTGAACTTCTCTGCAGCTGAGACTCTAACAGGATGATACTAGAACCCAGGAGAAGGGCTGCAGTGAGCGCTTACAGAGCTCACCAACATGCTTGGCACACCATAAGTGATGCACATGAGCAATCCTTGTTACTTCTAATTCCAACGTCCATAATCTCAACCACTGCCTTACCATTAGTGAGAGCAGAAACTTATGTATATGAATAAGACACATTTGTCCCTCTCTTTTACATTCTATCTTCAAAAAGGGATTTTACCCGATCTGGTGGATATACAATACATAGCTTTCCAGAGTACTGATATGCTGAGAAGGGGGTTTTTCCTCTTCTCTTGTAGATGAGTGCGATGGTTGAGAGGACAGAATTTGCACTCAGAAAGATCTAGACTTGAATCAGTTTCAATGCTTTGTCATTTCATGACTTAAGAATTGCCTACATCCTCTAAACCTTAGTTCATCTGATCTGTAAAATGGGAATAATAAAATCCAGTCTCTGTTTGAGAGGAAGATATTCCCATCAGAGCACACAACTCAAAGTCTCGTGAGGATAACCAGTTAGTGCCTGGGCGCTGGGCATCGAGAGCCAGGGTTTGAGCTCTGGCTACATGGATGCCAGCTACACCTGCATGTCCAAGGTGGTACCACTGGTGTGTGGCACACTGAAACTAGTCAGCTAGCTCTAGAGCCCACCTTTCCTACTTCGTCACTGTGCCTTTCCGCTTGTTATTATTACTTTGTTAGTTTTGAAGTCAACCAGATTTTATCTTTTGCCAGTTCTCCATTGTCAGTTTGTTTTATGTTCCATAAACTGCTGTAATGTCACTATTGAATATTTTCTTCCTTTGGCTTTGCTCTGTTCTTGTTCTGCTGCCTTATGATTGATACCCAGCTCATTAACTTTTGGTTTGCTTTTCTAATATCAGCACTGACAGCTATAAAATAGCCTTCATTTTTTTTTCAGTTCCCTTTTATTTTTGTAATAGTTGGAGGTCTTTTTATCCATACCTAAGGCCCATGCGTCCTCGGGGGTGGGGGGTGGAGGTCCCGACAGCTCAGGGGCTTTCCCATAGTGAGCTCTCTGGGTGGACCAGGCTTGAACTTCCCTGAACCCAGGGCCCTTTCTCTTCAGCTTCCTTTCCTCCTGGTCTTTTTCCTTCACACTTTCAGGATGCTGTTCTAGCTCTGAGGTCCTTGCTATGCTCAACATGCACATTCATTCATTCTGGCAAGAATCTTGCCTTTGCTTGTTTGCTTACAGTGATGCCAACTGCATGCTGGGTGACATCATAGATGCTTCCAGTGTTGCCATGGTAACGTGCAGGGTGTTCCTTTTTGAACAGCGCTCTTCCCCTTTATGACTACATTATCACTTTCTTGTGGATTCTTGAGGATGTGGCCAGAGAAAGAACTCCATGCCTTCTAAAGGCCTAGAGGACCGGTAGCCAGTCCTCTCCTCTCTCTCCTTTGTGTTGGTCATCTTGGCGACCTACCGGAATATGGTGCGTCTGGCCCAAAGAAGGTCCTTTCTACAGGTGTTTGATGTGTTGCATTTTCATCTAGTTTTACAATTTTCTACTTCCAGAATTATTTTGCTTTGAAAGTAAGTCTTAAAATTAGCCACTATGTTTCCTAATTAAAACGACAACGTTAAGTCTCTAAGCATAGCTGTATTTAGTGTTGGCATATCACTGTTTTAAATTGTGATCTGCGTTATGCCAGTCTTTCGGAATTTATTGAGATTTGCTTTATGACTGAAGTGGGCACTTTTTACAGTCGGTGCTTATTTGTTCTAGCTGTTCAAGATTCAGGCATCTCAATGAAATAAATTTGGTCATTGCATAGTCCACATTTACACCTTTGGCTGTCTAATCCCTGAAAAAAGATTGACGACTTGTCCATTCCTCCTAGTCATGCTGTCAGTTTTTGCCTTAAATTTGCTTTAGATTTTGTCCACAAGGCAAGTAAGAGGTTACATTTTTTATTTAGTTTTGGTGAATTTTTCCTTTAATATTATACAAGAACCCTCCTTAACCCTAATGGTGATTTTCTTATAAATTTGTGTGATATTAGCATAGCTCTGGCAGGTTTTATTTTTTGCATAATTCTTCTGTACTTTAAAAATTTTGGTGTCATCTCATTTTGTGTGAGTCTCCTGTAATTAAAAAAGAAAAATCCAACCTTTGTTTATTGGCTGGTAGACTTAATCCAGTTATATTTATTGATACTTTGAGGTTTACTTATACCTGCTTATATCGTATTATTTACTCTGATTTTTTTAATGCTTAAAAAGTCTACTCCTGCTTTCGGCTGGATTTTCCTTTGTTCTGTGCTTAGTAGTTGCTTCTTATGTCTCATTATTCCTTACTCCCAGTTTTGTTATTTTTCCTGAATTGTTACCACCACTTAATATAATTCTACCTCTGTTTCATGGGTGCCCTTAAAAGCTTAACCTATGTGGCTGATGTCAAGCCTACGATTGATCTTTATCCTTCTTACAGACTACATCAGGACTTGGGATGCTTTTATTGCAATAAACCCCTGTAGCCCTCTCAGCATTGGGACTTCACCATCATTATTTTATAGTCAGTGAATTACTTAGTCAGACTTACTAAACAGCTTACCAATTCTTTTGTTTTTTATTTCTTCAGATCTCCAATTCCCGATATCTAGGTTCTGTCTCCTCAAAGTGTGTCTTTTCAGAGTTGTCAGTGATAAATGCTTCAACAACTAACATTTTCCTTTATTTGTCTGAAATTGTTTTTATTTTGTTCTTATTCATAAATTATCATGTGTCATTTTCTATTGCACATTGAAGATGTTGGTCTTTGTATTCTTAATGCTTTTGAGAAGTTTGCCATTGGGCTAATTATTGTTAATCCTTTTAAAGTAACCTGCCTTCCTTCTGCTTGACTGTTCGAGCTTCTCTCTGTCTTCAGATAATGCACCTGATAGAACTTGGTTTTACTTACTCTGCTGTTCTGTGAATCTGAAATGTCCTGTGTCTGCCATGTCTCTCTTACATTGTCTTTATTTTTTTCTGTGAGATGTGTGTGTGACTCTCACCATTTTTTTCCTTATCCACAGACTTCTTTGGTATTTTTCTTCTCTTTGTCTCTGGTGTCACATTTTCTTCGTTGTATCTTCTTACTCAGCAAGTCACTTAAGATAAGCTCATCTGCCAAGGGTCAATGCACTTAGATTTTACTTTCAGTTGATTTTTTTTCCCTTAGAGATTCTACACTCAACTCATCTTTGTTGATACTGTCTTGACCTTTTCTTTTGTCTTTATTCCTTCCTTTATGTTTATACAGACTGTTTTTATGATTTGAAAGTTCTGGAGGCTTTCACTATTGTTTGTTGTGGCTGCTGACTTTCATTCCTAGTCAATCTTCATTCTGTCTTGTGATTTTGGATTGTGAGCTCATTTTCAGAAAGGCTTAATTTCCAGGACTTGGCAGTGGCGCGGGCAAAGGGAACATCTCCATTTGTTTCCACCAGGTGCCCTAGGAGATATCGTTTTCTTAGGATAGTTTTTACATGCTCAGTTCTCACCCTGGGCTTCCTGGACCACTTGGTTAATTCTGTTAGAATCGGAACACTTTGCAATGGAAGCTGGATACCCATTCTCAGGTAGCCAGGGGCGCAGGGCAGATGGAGAGGTGTCTTTGCAGTCTTCGAGGTGCAGGCTGATTGCTACTTACTGTATTCTTAAACTGAGGCTGTAGCTTTTTATGGAGGAGGCCCTGCGCCATTGCTCACTCTACACAGGCCCAGCACCTCATCTTTTATCCTCCCACAGCAATTAAAATACAAGTTACTCATCTCAGCGAGTCCCCAGGGAATTGTTGCACTATCTATCTGTTTATTGCTCTAATATGCAGTTCACCTTTTAAACTTGACCCTTCGGGCTCCAACTACCTACAGATTCTGTTTTGTGATTAAAAGGATGTATTGTTGTATACAGCATATCTCATGCTTTGTGCGCTCTAGTTTCCAGGTTATTTTATCTGTTCTATTGCTGTAAATGGGAACCTCTTTTCTACTTTAACCTCTCATTTTCTCATCCAGACAGTGAGGACAATAGTAGCCCTTACCCACAGAACTTAGTGTGTTAAATCACCTAAAGGTTTATCAGATGGTATATTTATCATTAGTAAAGTTGTCACTAGCTTTAGGATGATGATGGTTAATATTACTGATCGCCAAGCAGTTTTTCCAGATTTTCAGAATTTAATACCCAGCCTCACTGCCCTGTATCCTGTTCCTTGTTTATCCTTTCTTTTGGATGAGGGGCTTCCCTGT